CCTTTCAACAATGAAAAGCAACATGTATGAAGTGCTCACTCAGGCAAGGCACCACACCAGGTACCAGAAACAGAAAGGTGGGTGAGACTCCATGCCACATCCCAAGGAGCTCATGGTCTGTTGGGCAGAAAAGAGATAAAAAACAATAATACAATTTGATGAGAACAATAATTATTAAGATGACCAAGATCTATGGGAAGAATCCAGGGGAACATGGTGGGCTCCTCTGGCATCATGCAGAAGTGATTTCAGAAGCTTACACTAAGAAAAAAAAACATCTATAGACATCTTATCCTACAAAATAAAAGTTCATCAGAGTTTGACTATGAAGAGAAACTCTCTTCACAGATGACATGATACTTTATGTGGAAAACCCAAAAGACTCCACCCCCAAATTACTAGAACTCATTCAGCAATTCAGTAATGTGGCAGGATACAAAATCAATGCACAGACATCAGTTGCTTTTCTATACACTAACAATGTAACTGTAGAAAGAGAAATTAAGGAATCGATTCCATTTACAACAGCAACAAAAACCATAAGGTACCTAGGAATAAACCTAACCGAAGAGGTAAGGGATCTATACTCTAGAAACTACAGAACACTTATGAAAGAAATTGAGGAAGACACAAAAAGATGGAAAAACATTCCATGCTCATGGATCCGAAGAATAATCATTGTTAAAATGTCTATCCTGCCCAGAGCAACCTACACTTTCAATGCCATCCCTATTAAAATACCATTGGCATTTTTCAAGGAGCTGGAACAAATAATCCTAAAATTTGTATGGAACCAGAAAAGACCACGAATCGCCAAGGGAATGGTGAAAAAAAAAAACAAACCTGGGGGCATCACATTGCCTGACTTCAAGCTATATTACAAAGCTGTGATCACCAAGACAGCATGGTATTGGCACAAAAACAGACACATAGACCAATGGAACAGAAGAGAGACTCCAGAAATGGACTCTCAACTCTATGGCCAACTAATCTTTGACAAATCAGGAAAAACTATCCAATGGAAAAAAGACAGTCTCTTCAATAAGTGGGGCTGAGAAAATTGGACAGCTACATATAGAAGAATGAAACTGGACCATTCCCTTACACCATACACAAAGATAAACTCAAAATGGATGAAAGACCTCTATGTGAGACAGGAATCCATCAAAATCCTAGAGGAGAACATAGGTAGTAACCTTTCCTAGAGGAGAACATAGGTGGCCACAGCAACTTCTTTCAAGACACATCTCCAAAGGCAAGGGAAACAAAAGCAAAAATGAACTTTTGGGACTTCATCAAGATAAAAAGCTTCTGCACAGCAAAGGAAACAGTCAACAAAACTAAGAGGCAACCCACAGAATGGGAGCAGATATCTGCAAATGACATTACAGATAAAGGGCTGATATCCAAGATCTATAAAGAACTTCTCAAACTCAACCCTCAACAAATAACCCAGTGAAAAAATGGGCAGAAGACATGAACAGACACGTCTCCAAAGAAGACATACAAATGACTAACAGACACATGAAAAAATGCTCAACATCACTAGCCATCAGGGAAATACAAATCAAAACCACAATAAGATACCACCTTACACCAGTTGGAATGGCAAAAATTAACAAAAAAGGAAACAACAAATGTTGGCGAGGATGCGGAGGAAGGGGAACCCTCTTACACTGTTGGTGGGAATGCAAGTTGGTACAGCCACTCTGAAAACAGTATGGGGATTCCTCAAGAGGTTAAAAATAGAGCTACCCTACAACTCAGCAATTGCACTACTAGCTATTTATCCCAAAGATACAGATGTAGTGAAAAGAAGGGGCACATGCACCCCAATATTCATAGCAGCAATGTCCACAATAGCCAAACTGTGGAAGGAGCCGAGATGCCCTTCAACAGATGAATGGATAAAGATGTGTTTCATATATACAATGGAATATTACTCAGCCATCAGAAAGGATGAATACCCACCATTTGCATCGACATGGACAGAACTGGAAGGGATTATGCTAAGTGATGTAAGTTAAGCAAAGAAAGACAATAATTACATGGTTTCACTCATATGTAGAATATAAGCAATAGCATGGAGGACCATAGGGCAAGGGAGGGAAAACTGAAGGGGGAGAAATCAGAGAGGGAGACGAACCATGAGAGACTATGGACCCCAGGAAACAAACTGAGGGTCACAGAAGGAAAGGGAGTGGAGGGTGAGGTAACAGGGTGGTGGGTATTAAGGAGGGTACGTGTTGTGATGAGCACTGGGTGTTATACGCAACTAATGAATCATTGAACACTACATCAAAAGTTAATGTTGTACTGTATGCTGACTAAATGAACATAATAAAAAAAAATATATGCATCAGAGGTGGGACCAACATTCAATCCTGGTACAAACAGGACCCAGATCCAGGACTACGGTTCTTATTCCTGCTTATTACACAGATGTACGCACGCATAAGGCACGGAAAATATCTAGGGCTAGGGGATTATGTGTTTTCTGAGGATTCGTTCCCTTTACAAGTTAAGTGTTTTTGTTTTTCCTAGTTTCTGTTTTCTCTGATATCTGTCCACCAAGCTATCCAATAACAGGGAGCAACATCTTAAATTTCTGTAAAAAAACAAACATTATCGAGCTCAAAGAAATCAAAGAACTTCAGGATGATCTGGTCCAAGTCATCATCACCTCCAGTCCTCCAGGATAGTATTTTTGACATAGAAACAGGTCATGTTAAAATCAGAAGTGAGGACCCATTACTGCTCAACTGAGCCTTTGCCAGGATTATTTTTGCATCATTTCAGGGGTGTCCACAACTTGTCAAGAGGAGACCGTACGTGGCTATTTCCTGTAGGCTACCGATTTATTTAGAAGGGATATCAATCAGAGCGAAAGGTAAGGTGGCAGCTGAGAGCGCGAGGAGAAGCATCTTTACACATTTTTCCCCTTGCCCCTTACTTCGTGTATAAAAGCTGATGCCAGTCTGTGCAGGTAGGACTCTGCCAGAGTGAAGGAAGATGACCAATCCTTGCTATGCCATAGATTCTTTATACTTAGGCTTACATCTTCCTTCCTTCCTTCAAAAAAAAAAAAAAATTTACAGCAATTATTTATGAATTTCTGGCCGTTTCAGTTTCCTATTGCTGCTGTAACAAATGATCACAAACTTAGTCAGTTATAACAATGCAAACTTATTATTGCACAGTTTTGTTGTGAGAAACAGAACACGGGTCACCCTGGGCTAAATCAAGTTTAATATCAAACAGGGCTGCTGTGTTCCTTCCTGGAAATTCCCCGCAATAATCTGTGTCCTTGCTTTTTCTAGCTTCTGGAGGCTGCCCGCCTACCCTCCTTGGTTCGCGGCCCCTTCTTTCATCTACAGAGCACATCACTCCAATCTCTGCTTCCATTGTCACAGCTTTGCTGATTCTGACCCTTATGTTTTCCTTTGCTAAGGGTCCTTGTGATTGCATTAAGCTCACCCAGATGACCTAGGATCATCTTGGCATCTCAAGATCCTTAACTTGGTCACATCAGCAAAGTCCTTTTGCCATGCCACACTCATAGGTTATGGGGATTGGAGCATGGGCACCTTTGACAAAAGGGGGGGGCAGGGGAGACGTTATTCACCTACCACACTGAGTAAGGAGCTGTTTACAAGGTTTTGGCTCTCTTGCTTCTTGAACCAAACTACTCCGGGAAGACCACATCTTCATCTTTTAGTCAACCCTGGACAACATCTTAGACTCCAGTTTGTATGAGCTTTAGAAAGCCAGACTCTTAAAAACCACCAAAGGAGTGTTTCAGCTAAGACACGCATGTCTTTAGAGGAAGGAGGCAGATATGATTGATAAGGTGCTGAAAGTTAGCCTGTCTTTGCACCATTAGATTCTATGTAAGTTTCTTGTAGCTCCAGCAGAGCAGAGCATATTTCCTCCTGCAGGGTAGGCATATAGTAACTTTTATCTTTATTGAAAGAGTTAATGAGCCTATTATAAAAATAGGTGTAATTTGATATGCCAGTATTTTTGCATGGCAGGATCAAAATTAATTTAAAAATAGTAGGGTTCTAGTCAGACAGAAGGGACATAAAGCACTCAAAATTGGAAAAGTAGAAATTCATTTTAGTCCTCCAAACAGCTCAGAAAACAAAACAAAAACAAACAAGTGAAACTATTTATAACAAGCTCCCACTCTTTACAGTACCTGTTATATGTGTTACATATACATTTACTTGAATGCTTGATAATAATGTGAAGGTAAAACATTTAAAGGCAAATCGACCCACTTTCCTGGCACAGTAAATAAGGTCTGTGAAACTAGACATAGTAATTCAGTGTCATTCAAATAACACATTTTATCTTTTGTTTACCACCTGCTCCCATTCTTTCCTAAAACAAACTTGGCAACCATGCCTTGCTCATTTCATTTCATTTTCTATGAAAGTAAAATCTCATTCATAATCTCCACATCCTACAAGTCACTTGTAAATCTGATGTAGGTAGGCGCAAATTCATTTCCACCCACACAGTTTAAGGTTTTTTGTTTTGTTTTGTTTTGTTTTGCCCACCAATCAGCAATAATAATAAATAATGTTTAAGGTTTTCCCTAACCCCTGCCTCTCCGGCTAGATGCGGAAGCAGTAGCCCTTGTCCCCACCACCAGACATTTCTGGACTGAAAAGTGTCTTAGTTCTGTAATCTCAAAGAAAAACTCATTTTCTTATGCACTTTTAAAATTAATGGTCTATAATGCATTCTCTTTATGAGTGCAAGAGCATAGAATACAAAAACAAATGCTTATTTGTTCTCTCTGCTGAAATTGTCTAATGTCAGAAGAAGAAACTTTGCTTTCCACAGAAAATATTGGCTTCCCCATTAGCCATCTGCTAGATGGTGGGAATGTTCTGTGTGGCTTTCTCAGCTGGAACATTTGGAAAATGAATACATTGTTGCAAGAACTCACATTGTTGGCCATAATGTTTGTGATAATGTTGTTGACTTACCAGATGTCCTGGAAATTCCTGGGGTGGAAGTATTTCCAGTCGTTCCAAACCCCTCCGTTTCGCTGCAGAATGGTGTTTGGGATATACGACTTTCGCTATTTCTCACGGCTTACCATGGTATTTTTCATTCGGTCATTCTGAGACTAAAACAAGATGGGAAAAGATACCACTGAACTATTCCTGTTCTTCCAAACTCTGCCCTGCTCCTCAGTGCGTCACAGATCTCTAATTTGCCATTTTTCAAAATAATTTCTTCTCCAACCCCAACTATATGCATCTCTCTGTATGTAAGATTAAATAGCATGACCTTCCTAGTACTTGTCTCCAGCTGGTAGGAAAGCAACAAAGTCTAACAGTTGAATGCTTTGCTCACTCATTATGCCTAAGGAGCTTGTTTGAAATGTGAATAACTTCTGTTTTCAGCCCTGGCCCTCCCTTTTGAAATGAGATTAATGAAGTGATGAATAAAGTGAAGAGTCCTTTACACTTTGGCATGAAAATAGATTAGACTTCTTCTTTTGCAAATGGAATTATCTCTTACAGATCTGCTTCTCTACCTGTTCGCCTTTCATTTAAAGCAACAGAATTCTCTGAGCAGAGCGGGGGGGGGGCCTTAGTCTGGATGGGAATCCATTTTAATATTCCACGGAATTTTTTTTTTTAAAGATTTTATTTATTTATTTGAGACAGAGAGAATGAGATACAGAGAGCATGAGAGGGAGGAGGGCAGAGGGAGAAGCAGACTCCCTGCTGAGCAGGGAGCCCGATGTGGGACTCGATCCCGGGACTCCAGGATCATGACCTGAGCTGAAGGCAGTCGCTTAACCAACTGAGCCACCCAGGCGCCCAATTCCACGGAATCTTGACTGTCGTGCCAATCACACATGGCTATGTGTCTTTGTCAAACTCTACTACATGATTCATTTTTATCCCTTACTTCTATCAAAAGGACATACTATAAAGGTTTACATCTCCGAAGATTTTTAAAGGCAATTTAATTTATATTCGAGTACCCTATCCTACCACATCATTCCAGTTCCGTTTGCTCTTTGGAGTCACATGGTTTCAAGGCAAAGGGGTGGGCTGTCTGGCCTCATGTCACTCATCTTTGCAAGCACCAATAGCTACCTATCGTCCATCTTGGTGCTCTGCTGTCAGCTATGCCACAGCGATGACCCTGTCCCAGTGGCCCCCTCAGCTCTGCTGATTTCTTTCTGTTGCCTGTGGACGGGGGAATATCTGATGAGCTGTCTGGGGCATGTGCTCTCAGACGGACCCCAGAAGTTAGCCTTCCCCTCACTGGGCTTTTCCCTGACAAAGTGGACATAAGTGTTTTGCCCTTAGGTCTCACACCCTCTACTTACGTGGTTCTGCCTCCACAGTGCTCCCTACAAACAAAGCCAGGCCACTCCCCATCTCCTGGGCACACTGAGGTCTCTGTTCTCCCTTCCCCTTCCTTCCTCATCATTCTACCTTGAGGAATCCATATTCTGGAGGGCATAGCCTCTATTAGAACAATCTTCTAAAAGGGCCCTTTTGGGGAACGTACATCCCTGCATATGACTTTTCTCACCCCCATCCTTCCCCTGAGGTGAGAACTACAAAGCCAGCTAACTGCTTGAATGCTGGAAGGGAAGAAGGAGCAAGGAAACATGAAAGACATTTAAAAGCATCTGGTAATATCTCAGTCATATCATGCCACCATCGAGCTAGAAACAGAAGAGAGAAATAAACAGACAAGAAGGCCAAAATGGAGGATGGAGTGTCAATAACTTTTTTGGTAATTTTCTGATATTCTGAGAATTCTGCTCCAACTGCCTTTGATAGAGGCTGGTATCCATACAACACACCTCACACCTCCTCATTCTGCCCACTGCTCGATGTGCAAGCACCCTCGTATTTCCAACCTTGAATTTGATAATTGCCGAGAGTTATTCAATCTATGATTAAATTAATGAATAAATACAAATTGGTGACAGAAAAAACATTAACCACCATCTCATTGTCCTTTAACACTGTATGTTGTTCCAATGGAAAGTTGTTTTTTTTTTAATTAGCAAGTGCCATCTACTTTGAGAATATCCCCATAAGACAGAAAAATCATGGAAATGTAGGGCTGAAAAAACTTAAGGTTATCTAATACAGTGGTTTTCAAGCTTGACTATACCTATTAATCACCTGGGGAGATTTTACAAATACATATGTAATCCATCCTACCCTAAACTAACGGATCAGGTAAGTCCCAATCACTGATATGTTTTAAAAGCTCCTTAGGTGATTCTAACACATTGGGGGTGGTGAACCTCCCCCATTTACACAGGTGAGTTGTCATTTATCCAAGACACATCGTCACAAGTGAAAAAGCAACAGGTGACAACTGCTTCTCCTGACCCTTTCTCGTATATTCTTCCCACCACACCCCCACTAAATCCCAACATTATAAACCATCTCACAGTGTCCAAAGAGGTTCTATTCCAGTTTATTTCAATATTGAAGACAACACATTAGAACAGTATCAAATTTCATTCTCATGGTTGTCTCACTTCAAAAGCTCTAACATTTCCCCAAAGAATTACTCCACGGCCCCCCACCCCCACCCGGTCCCCATGTTTGATAAATGTTAAACAACACCTTTATGAGATGGCATTCCATTCTAGAGTGACATTTAAAAGCTCTGAAGTTTAATTGCTGTAGATAACCATCGATCATTGCTGGGATGCCCCTGCGACAGTGGACTTTGAGGTATGCCATCCATCTCCTGGCGGTCCTGTGGCTGGCCGCCTTCCCCTCTTCATCACTGCTTGATGGGGCTGATGGGGATCGCTGCCGCACTTCCAGAGAGCCTCCCATTCCCTCACCTGCTCTGCATGACTACTGAACTGAGCCGTGTTGTGACAGTCTGCCTGCTCTTCCCTGCTCAGATTAATGAATACAGCTTTAGCTGTTAATTCAAAGCTAGTCAAGCTTGTATCCAACAATTAGAGACCAATTTTCATCTTCAGCGTGAGGGTATGTGGGGAAGGGTGTGGGAGAGGAGTGCAATTTGGCGTGATTCTTTACATCTGGGGTGTGCGTGAAGAAGGAAGAGTAGGGGATCCTGAAGACAGTACCAGAAACTCTCATTGGTCTGGCTACAACAAGCCAAGCCGTTTCAAGCCTCCACTTCTTTGCCAGCTACAGTGATGCGACCCCAGGGGTTTGAGCTTCCTGCCCTGCAGCTAGACTGCAATCCATCAAAAATAACAAGCACACAGAAGGCCCCTGTGCACTCCTGCCTTCGAGGAGGGTCAGCAGCTAAGGCGGTCTTTGAAAGGGCTTTAGAATCAGAGCCCCAAATTTCCCACTCCTCTTTTCTTCCCTCCACCATAAGAAACGAAATGTTTACTTGTACACAAAATTATGTAAGAGACCTCATCTGCCCCCTTTCAAGGTCATCCAGAGCACCAAAGACAGAATACTCAAATTCTCAACCCTGAAATGTCCTCCCCAGTAAAGCAACGCCTACAAATGCTCTGTCTTGCACGGAAAAGCTATATATGGACCCCAGGTGCCAAATACTGTCAAGATGCTCTCCTCCTGGAATTTCTATTTACAGAAAGGAGAAAACAGGAACTACCAGAGCATTCCTGCCCCTGGTTACTGATGGTAGAGGTGGTTCAGAGGCACACATGCCCATCCAAGGTAAGCTACACCTTTGCCCTGGGAACAGAAATCTCTCCCAAGTCATTTTGACTGATTTTACCTTTTAAGCAGGTGGCCTGGGGTGGGAGCACAATACATAGCAGTCGGCGGTAGTAGGTAATGTTGATAAAGTCTAGTTACTTGCCTTATTGAATTTCTTTTTGCTCTGCTGCAGTATTTAGCAGATGTCTTTGGCATCGGATTAGCTCGGCTATGCAAGGAAGGATCAAGAATGGAATTGCTGTCCCCTCCTAAGCAGCGCACCCACGGGGACCACGTGGAGATGGGAGAGGTCATACCATCTACGTACCTCCACCCACAGGTGAAAGGCAGGAAGAGAGTCAGAAGCAGCACAAGCTATAACCCTTTCTCCGGATCTCCATGAGGCTCAAATGTTTGAAGTCTCTGTTTGCTACTTTTAAGGGGTGTCAATTATTTTGTCTGAAAACTAGCGATTAAAAAGACCTAACTTACAGAACTGATGCTGGCAATAAATGAGATAAACGTAAATCAGGTAGCGTAGTGTCTAGCACATAGGTTGAACTTAATAAATGATACAGTGGAAAACATATCAATAATGGGTCGTGTCTCCCTGGGAGTTTACACCTAACTGGGGACACATACAGTAATGGAGCAAATAAATAAATGGTTATACATTGAGTAAGGCCTAGCAATGACGGAAGAAACAGTGACTCTGATAGAGAATAAGCAGGAAGGAGGGTGGTCGGGGGAGCCACTGTGAGGAGGGGATATTTAAGCTGCAGCCAGACAAGGAGAAGCCAGAAGAGCCGGACGTGGGCAGTCCAAGCACAGGGAACAGAAACCACAAGACCTACGAGGCGGCAAAGACAGGAGAGCAGCTGGAACGTGGACATCCAAGGGAGAGAACAGGGTGAAGGGGGGTGGGACAATTTTGATTGTGCTTCGAGTTCTTGTTCCTCCAAGTGTGGTCCTGGCATCACCTGGCGCTCGTCGGAAATGCAGAAATTCAGGCGCCACCCCAGACCACCCAACCAGAATCCGCATTTTAACAAAATCCCTGGACAATGCCTTTGCACGTTCTGAGATTAAGAACACTGCTTTAGGAAGCCGCTGAAAAGTTTAGGTGGCACAGTGGTGTGATGTGCTTTGCATTTTTAAAAGATTCACTCCAGATGCTATGGTGAAAATGGATTAGGAGAAATAGAGCATATTTTTACTGCTATTTATGATTACTTTCCAAGTTACCTGCCTAGTTTACCATGCCTTCTCCTTCCAAGGCGGGGTCCTGCTGTAATCTGGCCATTTTCCACCTGAAGTCAGCCCAGAGGCTACTGCCCTGCTCTCTGCTTATCCACTGCTAAGTGCCACTGTCCCCCTGCCTTGTATTTTCAAGTATCACCCGTTCCTGTGTTCCCCAGACCTCAGCTCTGCCCACCACATCAGGAAGCCCACCCTCTCACATCCTGATGAACCCCTCGGAGGCTGGAGACAGCCCTGCCTTTGATCGTGCACCCCACACCTTCAGCTGGCTCACTGCCAGACCGGGCCTCTCCTCAGAGGTGGTTCCTGGCCACACCTCTCTGTTCCTACGGCATAGCCCCCATACCCCAGGAATTCAGAGACCAAGTGAAAAATGAGCATTCCTAGCCACTATAATTAGATTCCAAGAGGAGAAGGGACTTCATAAGTAAATGCCAACCATCTTCATATTAAAAAAAAAAAAAAAAAAAACGTTTTTAATCGATTGTTGGGGGTGAGCTGTTAATGAGCTAACCACTTTTAATTCAATATTTGACAGTAATTGCAACAGAATTACATTTAACAAGAGAAGAACCTCTATGGCTTTTTAGCAATCAGATGAGGTAATAGAACAGTTGTTAAGGAACTGAAATATAATCAAAGGAGCCTTCATGTCTGTTGCTGAATCTGAGTGACAAGACTACCAACAGTAAGCCCAAAGATGGCTAATACCAGTTGTCTGGAATAAGAAATACAAGATAGCCCTGTGCTTAGTGGAGAAGAGTCTAAATGCCTAGGCTGGTGGAGCAGGTAGGTTGTTGAGGACAGATGGAGATCTTGCTCAGCTAAAAGCGGTCGAGGAGGCCGGGAGCCAGGGGCAAAAAAAAAAGGGGGGGGGCGGCATTTCTTAATGATTTCTAGTGAAAGTTCATAGGTAACTTTTGCAGCGATACTACCAGTACATTGAATCCCTCCCCATTCCGTGGCCACGGTGCAGATGCTTTTCCCTCATTCTGTGATGTGCTCTGGAGGGCAGGCATCGGGCACGTTGGTGCTCAGCACCCTTCTCAGAATGGCATCATGAAGCAGCCCTTATATTAGCAGAGTTCAATCGGCCCTGTGAAATGAGGGCACCATTAAAAGGGGGGTGTTTATCTGAGAGAGGTGAGCCGGTGAGAACATCACGAGGGTTGAATCAGGTCGCACTGCATCTCACCCTTGGGAGGTCTGAGTTAGGCAGCTGGGGACACCACGGAGGCATGGCTCCGAAATTGTTTTCATTTCGCACTTTCTTGAAACCCTCTGAAGAAGCTCACCTTTCTCACCTCAAATGGCTATGTCATCACCTTTATTTCTGCTCTGACTCTGGCTTTAATGGATTTTCTGAGCTTCTAGCTTTGAAACCGTATAGAAAGAACAGCCTCACCCGAGTACCACAGCTGTTAGATCACATGTCATCCGTCCTCAGGGACAGCTTTAACTTGAGAATGATGTTCACATTTGGGGGTTTAAAATCAAGCAAACAGATTCCATGTATTTTCGATGGTCTCTAAAAGGAGCTTCAGGAAGACGACTCTTATTTGCTCTCAATTTGACACTATATCTGTTATAAAACAAATAAAGGAAGTCAAAATGTCATTTTCGACGGTATCTTTGGGGGGAAATAATGTTAGAAGGGAAAAAAAAATCGCTAACCAAATATTCACATTGCTTTATAAGGGAAAAGAACCTTTGGATACAAAGTTCATATTTGACAGGTAATGTGACAATAAAAGGGGGAGAAACATGAATTAAAATGCAATGAAAAGTTCATATTCTCCGTGCACAGAAAAATAAGTGAATGTCCTTAAATTGATCAGCTCTCCAGCTGGGAGGCTTCAGATGATTGATGAATGCGTGATGGTTTTTCTTTTAGATATATGTTGAATCATGGTGAGGAGATTAATTGGAGTCACCTTTTTAAGAGAATACATAAATGCATTTGTAATGTACTGTGCTTTGCTTAAAGTAGAAACTTAAAAGTGCTTTTACAATTAATCCAAAACCAAGGGATAGGCTGATGGTGGAGAACCATCTATGTATTTAGTGTAAAGAAAAAAAATGCTCTAAATATTGGAATTCATTGGGAAGCTAAACCTAAAGGTGGTGGCAGAGGGCAAAGGCAAAATTTGTGGCTAAACACTGAGGGGAGGGCCGGTAATGGGTCATCAGAGCCACAAACCACTAGGCGGGTTTCAAGTTCTCATCAATAAAACCCAGGAGACCCACCGGCTATCATGCACCAGAAAGACAGAAGCTGAAAAAGTGTTGAAGCGAATCCTATTACATGCATAAATGTAATTCTCCAAACTGACTACTTGTGAAAATCACGTGGGAAGCTTCTGAGAGAAGAGATTCTAGGATTCCCTTGACATGGAATTAAAATCGCTGACTGGACCCCAGGATATTTCCTAGAGTTCAGAATCTCTGCTTCTTTTGTCGGCTGAATCAACATGTTTTTAGACCAATGGTTGAGTACGAGGTATGGGGCCCCCATTTGAATGACAAAACACTTGGAAGATCACTGTGTTTGGAGCTGTAGCGTCTGCTACTATTGCTGAATGAGAAATTCAGCAGGCTTATATGCATAGTAGCTCTGAGGTCAGTGGTTGGGAATCAGTGACAGGGAGCATGAGCTTCATGGGGGCATGTACTATCTTCCACCACTGTTTTCCTAGACCCTAGCACCATGCCTGATAGATAATGGGTGATCACGAAACATTCAACTAATTAGGGAATCAGAAGGCCCCCAAATTATTGTTTCATCTCTCTTTCAGGTAAGAGTGAAGATTTAGAAATACTATATCCAGTGGTATTGCAAAGATCAGAGTGGAGAGCACTTCATACCCAAGTTTTATAATCTCAGAACAACTGGACCCAGGAATCTTGCCCACCTTGACCTTTGAGACCTTTGTGATTATTCCTTTGTATCTTGTGCTTATCCCAATGACAGGTTCACAGGAGGTGTACAATAAATGTACAATAAATAACATTTGTTCAACAAATCAATGTATCCTTTCTTAGGATCATTAGGAGAAGTCAGATTCATCAGTTATGAGGAAAATTTGGGGGGGACCTCTTCCAATTATCTTCAAAATAAAAACACACTAAAGAGAAACTACATCTATATCTAAGCTATATGAATGCCATTAATTTACATGATTCTTAGATCGAGAGAAAGCTATTTTAAGTTTCTTGAATGGTTAACTTCTTTTATTTTATCAATTCTCTATTAAATCAATAGAAATGAAGATGTATGAAACCTCATGGTGTTTCCCCATCATATCCACCATGATTCACCTGTTTCTATGGATTTGCCAGCCAGAGTGACAAGTAGAATCAGGTCTCAGGATTTCTGATAGCCTTCACTACCTGTGGCCCCTCCATGGCCCCATGTCAGATGTGAGCAGAAGTGCTGTGGCCAACTTCCACATTATCATCTTAGGAATGAAGCTGCCAGTCTATGCCTCCCTCTATTTTCTCGTTCTACTGGCTGGCATGTGGACGTGGCAGTGACTCAGACACGGACACCACCCTGAATGATGGTGGAGCCACAAGATGGAAGGAACCTGGGTCCCAGCATGACTGTCATGAGCAAAGCCTGCCCCATAAGCCTAAACTGCTCACCTTTGGACTGTTATGTGAAAAACAATAAATTTCTTCCTCGGGTCCCTATATTTGTGATTTTTGTCTTTCAGAAATTTAGCTAATGCCTAAATTTTATACTCCTTATTCTAAAGTTCTGGGATTTCATTTATGTCCAATAGGCAAAACATCTAATGATTTGTCCCCAGTGGGTATACTAGTTGCAAGTTTTCCCCCAAAAGGGATTGTATGGATTAAAACAAGTATTCTGCTTTGTTATTCTACACAGATGACAACCACCGATAGAAAATATTCTCAAGACAACTGTGCCAAGTAGTGAAAAACGGTGAGACCACAAAGCTAAAAATATTATGATACACAGTATTTTTTGACCTAGATATATCATTGGAAGGTGCATTTTGTTTGGCATACTTGAAACACATTCTCAGTGACAAGAAACAATATTTGTGAGTTTATTTCTGGGCATGTGCATAGAGTTAATTAGCAAACTCCCAACTTACGATGCATGCAAATTTCAAAGTTCAAGAAGTGGCAATTTACTCACATAAACCTTATGCAGCTTTTATGGTTTTGTCAGATATGCTTACTTAAATGCATAAATTAAGTACTATGTGTTGTACCCACTTAGAAACATGGCAGGATTCCTTGGGAGAAGTGAAAATTAAAATGTCAGAAAGAAAAAAGCTTTGTCGTCTCACCCTCAAAGGTGCACCATGGGATGAATGTCAGTTTTTGGAGATGCATTGGCTGCCGGGCCAAGTGTGGCAACAAAATCTGGTGCTTCTCCTAGGCCACGCCTCCTGACACACACACTTAATCCTGGCAGAGGGGAAGTCTGTCATGCTGGGCACTGAGGACACCCATGCTTCAGGGAAATGGTCAAGCACAGAGTTCACCTCTCCTTTTCCCAGTGTTTCATTGAACATTTCAGGACTAAAAATGGGGATCCAAGATTCTCAGGTCAAGGTTCCTTTGTTTTTCCACATAGAGCAGAATTCTTAATTTTGTTCTTTTTGCCTGAATGGTCTACATGTTCCTGGTGGAAGGCTAAATTTTCCTTTGCCCTGCCTCCTTTATGACAGAAACAATCCCCTATTTTAAAAGATAAAGATTACCCCCACAGTACTCTGTGAAATTGCTTGCTACCATAATTACTCACTTAGTATTTTTTAAATGTTTGGCTTAGGACTACTTTAAAACAGATTACTTATTCCTGTGTTAGTTGAGATTGTTCAACAGCTTCCACGATGTATTTTAAGTGACTTAGGTATCCTTGAAGGTGATGAACAGGCTTCTCCAACAACATCTGGCATTTCAAAATGGTGCACATGTGTGTGTCATGTGCACATGCATGCACACATGCGTGCGCACACACATTTACTCTTGGCAAGACTGAATGGGTCAGCAGACATAACAAAGCACTTTGTTTTATGTTGGGTTTTTAACTCATCATGGCAAAGCTGGTTACCTTTTACAAGCTGGTCAGAAGTTTAACCAACCAGAAACTTGGCTCTGACCAAGTTTTTATTAATAAAAACATGAGAAAGGATAAATGGTTACTGAATACGGTTTACTTTCGGTAGACATTTTTTTAAAAGTTAGTGGGCCTTCTGGGCAGTGGGAAATAATTAAGTTCCTTGATGCTTAAAATTAAGAAAAATCTATCATTTTCTCTGGAGATATTAATATTGTATCCCAAGATAATTTAAACAATTTCTTGGTCATGCTGTCAAACTATCAAATGGGATAATCAGGGAGAGTTCTGCTCGTCTTCCATCTCAACTTGATTTTGCCAATAGAGCAGATGTCAAAGGGCAAAGAAATCCCTTCTATTTTGTAAACATTTACTACTCAGAGAAATAATAAAAATGGAAACTGTCCACTGTGTCCTCCTGAACATTTTTCTTTGTCAAAAAAAAAAAAGAGAGAGAGCGAGCGAGAAAGAAAATCCTCATTACTTCCCATTCAACTCTCCCCTATTTCTTAATTTTAAACATTCAAAGTACGTTTTTGACTGACTAGTTCCCACCCTATCCACACTGCCACAGGCTGTTTAAAGGAACATAAAAGGGAGAGGATGTGGCATCATATTCCATTGTCACCGTGGCCCTCTGCACCGAGCCCAGCCGTCTGAAAGAGATCCCCATCTCTGGGTCTTATATCGAGTGTTTACTTTTCATCATTTCAAAGTGTTTCTCTCCGATACCACTCCTGTCAAATTTATGAATAAGTCTGGAAATTTTCAAGATAAGCTGAAATTGGTCTTATTTGTTGGCTTCTGACTCAAATTCCCTCTACCTCTTCAGGGAGGAAGCTACTGATTTTAGAACCCAACTGCTGTATGTTTCTTTGCCCCAGCTGGAGCTGTAAATCACACTTGGTTTCACAGATTTGATAAAGCCTGTGAGCTTATAATGTCCCTGCCAGAACGAGCCAAGAGTTACTTCCTGGGGGAATGAAGCCAGTCGGCAGAGCCTCCAGCCCCATAAATATGACCCTATTAGGCTGAAGTTAGTGGGCCTGTCTAAAAGTGGGGATTTGCCCAAACAGCTCCACAAAGTAGCATGATCAAAGTGATAAGAGAAATTTCCTAAAACGACAAGGGGAAAGAAAACAACAGAGAGTTCTGTGTTGATTTTTGTCGTCTGCCCTTCAACTCTGCTTGGATTCTGCAGCAAATAAGATTTCCTACCAATACATGACCTGTTTCTATATAAAAACATGAGCTTATCCACTAATACAGCCCATCTCTCACACCTCAGATTCCACATCACATCACAAGCTGCTGTTTCGAAAAGTAAGAGCACAAAGACTTGTACAGGTTTCAGCAGTGGTGGGGAGAGGAGCAGGGAGTTACAAAAATTCAGATATCAGGCTTACACATGTCATGTCTTTCCAACTTTAAAAGACACTTAGTGCCCTTTGAGGGTGCGGGTGAAGACCAATGGTAATGGCAGAGAAGAAATATGTTGTCGCATGGAAATATGTTTTACCCATGAGTAAAAAGGGAATATATAATAGAACTGATAATGGTTTATTATCACAAGAACTGCCTTGCTCAGTTGGCTCTTATGTGACTCTATCAAAGACCATCTGTA